GCGCTTCCGTTGTCGTCGGGCTCCCAGTTTGCTAGGGTTGCCGCTTCCGTTGTCGTCGGACTTTTTTTTTTCCTAGCAAAGGCTGTTCTCATTAATTTCGCTCAATTGTCCTAATTTTCTCATATCTCTGTGTAATACGAGACAGAGGAGAATAACAAAATAAAACCACTGGCTTTCCCCTAGGGAATGCTTTGATGCTGTAACAAACAGCTTTGTAAAAAGTCAAAGCTGGCTAATTGAAATATCTCTGTCCTCTAATTTAGTATTAAATGAGATGAAAAATTCTTCACTTTGGATGTACAGTGGATCACAGAAGAGTTTGTAAGCGTTGGCTGGGCAAACATTGTGTTACTGCCCTGCCGGGCACACTAATTATCTAACTTACTGCCCTGCCGGGCACACTAATTATCTAACTGCTTCAGTCTCCTATTGCAGTGCTGCTGTGAGCCCACATGAGTTTTGAACAGTTGAAGCTGTGCTTGAGTGTCTAACCGTAAACGGGCTTATAGTCGGCTTTGAGCTCCTGTCACAGTGGCATCATGGTGTGGAGAATCAGATCTTTAGATGTCTAATCTGAGGTCTCGGAGTTTGGATAGGGCCTGTGCTTGTGGTAAAGCAGACTTCAGCTTAACCAGATGTGCACTTGTTAACACCTGGTTTTGGCATGAAAAAAGAGGAGACTTATGGGAGTGTGGTTGAATATGGATATTAAGGAGAGTATTTAATACTTCAATGCTACCAGGGATGTTTTCTCTTATGTGGCATGATGTACTCTGAAAGCTGTTCCATAAAGTTACCATTTGCTTTCTTATCTGTCTCTGTTCCCTTTTTTTTTTCTTGTTTAGTATGCCTTTCAGGAGGAAGTCCAGAAGAAACCATTGCCCAGTGCTGCCTCCCAGTGTTGTAAGTTAGACTTCATTTCTTCTCAATATTTTTTTCCTCTTTTGGTGTACTTTATTTCCTTCTCTGGTTAGTTATCAAATGATGGTACATTTGAACAGTATTTTCTCTTTAGAAGTACTTAAATCTCTGTGAAGCTTCTGATGCTAGAAAGTGAAATCAAGCATTGGGTCTTTAACCTGTTTGTGTCCTCATGTGCAACAGGAACACAAAATGTGTTCAAAGTCACCTAGTTTGTCAGACCCCTGTAATATCGACGCAAGTAAGAAAATGCTGAGTTTTTTCATATAACTAAGTTAGGCTATATTCTCTTTAAACACCATGTGTTGAATATTATTTTTGACTCCTTAATGAAATTTTAAGAGGAGGAGAATAGATGGAGACAGGTGCTGCCGGCAGCTTTTAAAATGCACCAGAGGTTTGTGTACTTGATGCCTAATTTCTTTGATATTACTTTTAAATGCTGTGTTGATGGATGAAAAATATTTTTACTAATTTCTGCTTATCTCATCTTGCATTTTTTTATGCTTCTGAAAACATGGATGGAAAAATAACCTAGGACATACTGTATCTGATGGTCTGCAAAATTAGATTTCTGAAACACTGCTTTTAACGTACAGTAGATGAAAGCTCAATGATGTCTCTTATGAATGTCTCAGCTACTTTTGGCAACAACATTAATAAAAATCAAGTCTCATAATTTAAACAAATCTTTTATGCTCTACTTCAAATCCTGTAAGATGTGCATATTGCACTTTGCAGGCTGTTTATCCATTAGGCTGATTATAGGATCTCTACAAAACTGTTGACATCAGAAATGTTAATTACTGTTTACCTTTTTTGAGTAGAATTAATTTATCTGTATACTGTTATTATGTTATCTTAAAACTGTCTTCAAGAAAACATGGACATTAACCAATTGCGTAGGAAATCTGAATGTGTTGTTTAGCTGGAGCACATACAGAGCTATATGAAAGTATTCCGGCAGTGGTACCCTAGGTAACACCAAATGTGTCCTCACTTTTTTTAAAAAGAGTGTATGTAAAGAATAAAGCACTTTGTTTGTTTTTAGTCAGAAGGGCACAATTAATTTGTAAAGCGTACAAATAAGAAATGTTGCTGGAGAAACTAATATGTGACTAAATCATACTAGCATAATGTGCAGAACCCCTAATGTCAAAAGGTCAAAGAAAACCAGTCTGATATGAAGTGTCCAAGAAATGAATGTGGTGTTTGCTGAAATGACTTTCCTGGCTATGTGCCCTGGACTTTGCTTTTGTTTGAGGGAGGCTGGTTTGATTGACTCTTCCATTGGGATGTATGGGTAAATTAGGAGGAATGCTTCTGTGTAGGGAAAGTAGCTGCACCTGTTCCCACAGCATGGTGCTTTTGCATCCTCAAGCTCTTGTAGCTGGTTTCTTCCCTGGAGGGACCAGCCCAGCTCTTGCAAATAGAGATAGTAAAGAGTAGAACTGCAGCTGCCGTTTTTGTGTTGCCTGTTAACAGCCTGCATCTTGCTAGAAAGTGACCTTTTATGATAATTAATTGAAGGCCCCTGGATTGAACAATTAATATCGCATAAGAATTAATTTAATCATTCATGGGTTTAAAATGGTCATTAGAATTGATGTTAAATATTTAATAGCAGTATGTGGTTAATGTATTTAAGAATTTTCCAGTAATTCGATAAAGCTTGTGGCACTGCATGTACTTTTGCTTATCTACTGCCTGCAAGTATCCAACTTCTATGAATATCTAATTATTTACATGGACAAATATAAAATAGACATTTAATGTAGAAGTACTTTTTGAAAAATGAACTCTGCCTGCATCAATCTGTGCATAAGAATTGTAAGCTTGCCTGAATGTAGCATAGTCCTTTGGAACTTGAGAATTCAACCCAGAAGATGCATTGATTGTGTCTATTGAAAGCTGACCTGGCCTTTGCATATGACGCAGGAGCTCAACCCCCTTTTACATAGGAGCAGGGTGGGTGTCCTTCCCTAGCCTAAAACACGTTGAGTACGGAGTGTTCTTACTTACCATGTGGGTAAATAATTGATAGATACATTTTTAGATATAATAAAAATATCCTCAAGAACATTTGTAAGACTCATCCAATTTTCCATCACGATGTGCTAGATGAGATGTGAGCGCTGCTGGGGGCAGGACACAATCATCTGGATGACAGACTAGGTATCTAGAAGGAGCAAAAAACCTCCTGAGTGTAAGTAGTTTTTGCCCCATGAGAGTATCTTCCCAAATCCTAGAAAACATGAAGTCATCTTAAAACCTGATGCACTATAGAGCAAAAGTGCAGCAAAACACTCCATATAGCTTGCATTTCAAGAAATAACGGTATAAATGCACATGCCACTGGTGTCCTGCTTAGCCCTCTTGCAGCTCTCGGAAGACTCTTCTGGCTTCTTTGTTCTAGCTAGAGAAAATCCTACTCCAGCAGGCAGGGTCAGGTTCATTAAACGGGGAAATACATGTCCTTACGTGTTAAAATTAGATTATATTTCTGCCCCGTTCTGCTTCTATGTTTTCCATACATTTCTGGTCCCTTTCTCAAGCCACCTTTTCTCATGGTTATTTCCCAATCTCCTGCATGGGTGCAACTTGTTCTCGTATCTCCCCTGAGTAGGGAGGGGGAGAAGGATGGAGCAGGGTGTGAGAGAAGAAAGCTGGGCCGTGTCTGAAAGCCAGCATCTGATCTGTGAGGGTGGGTTTTCATCTCTGGTCATGCGTGGGCTGCTGCCTTGGCATGGTGCCGTGGGAAATCTCAGCTCAGACTAGGTGCTCTAATTTTTCGAGAGATTATGAAGCTTTCGGGCCCACTTTCAGAGTCTCAAATGCTGCTATGCTCTTAGAAGAGTCTGTCCCATGATTTCTGAGGTAATGTGGGATTCGGGCTTCCTGCCTATTCTTAAATGAAGCAGGTGGGTCTGTTCTTGTACACGCAGTCTCTTCTAAGCCCTACTGATTTTGGTGCTTCCTGCCTCTTCCTTCATCATACTTAGCCATTTCGTTTTTACCTCCCAACTTCTGTGCTTCCCTATATATTTCTCCTGCCCCAGAAAGATCACATGCTTCCAATTGATTTAACTTCCAGTGATCCCAAGCAATAAGCAAAGCACTATAGTGCCCATGGATCCAGTTTTGTTTGCATTTCTATTAGATGTAATTGTAATTCTTAATTTGCTGATACCTCATTGTTGGATCACTGCAGCATCCTCTTACTCGCTTTTACCGGCAACCTGAAATTGAATGTAAATTAAAAAGAAAGTAAGCTTTTATTGTCTGGAAATTCACTTTAAATGAAGCAGGTTGAAAAAATGTTATATGATTACTTTGGCATTCATTGAGTCAATAAGCTCTAAGTTATTTATTGTGGTAGGTATAGATTTATTTTCCTTGTATGCTCAAGATCATTTCTGGCAACATAAAAGTCCATTATAATCCATAAAATACTGACAGAATGACTCACTTAAAAGCAGCTCTGACTTGTAGCAGACACTGTGCAAACTGGGATGAGAAAGGTATGCTGTATCTTTGTGGAAAAGATTTGGCAGTCTTAGTTAATATCAGCTACTGTAAATACTGCCCTATACCTCATGTCAGGGAGTTTACAAATCTGGAAGAGAGCAGGTTTGTTCAGTATGATTCTCAGAAAAGCTGACCTAAGTGCCACTGAATCAACCAGTTACGTCTGTCCTCTTATCTTTGACTGATAATCTTTCTGAGAATGCTTTATCCTCCCTTCTCTGCGTATATTTTTATTCTTCCACTTCCTTGAGTCTGTGGCGTTGCTCTTATCACAGTAAGACCCTGATAGACCACAGTGCACCATAGTTCTGTCTTGGATGTCTTTTGCTCTGTAAAATCCCTGTCTACCAGGGCTGTGTTATTGGGTTTTTTTTATTGTGGGTTGTTGTGGTTTTTTTTTTTTTTTTTTCAGAAAAAGGTAAATTTTTTGCTTGGCTCT